GAACCGGTCTCCACATGGGATCCGAACCCTCGACGGGAGTGCCGCCACACTCCCAAGCGGCACACTCTCCAGTGCGCCACCGGGCCGGCCCAATAGGAAGTTAATTTCCATTAATCCATCAAATTGAGAAACAGCATTTAAAAAAAGTCCATTGTCTTTAAATGAAAACTTTTGGTAAAACTTCTTATCATGTTTGATTAGCCTTCTTTTTATTAGATCAGCAGATATGATTTAAAATACAGGGGTTCTGTAACAAAGCCCTGTGGTTTATTTTAGGTCAGTACGATGGCAAGGGAAAGCCATTGCCGGAATACCACACACGGATCACTGGGTTTGATGAGCGGGTAGGTTTGCAAAGCAGCCACTGTGGTGAGGATTGTTAGCATGTGGTGTNACAGATGACAGAAATACTTCACTGGCCCTAAAGTTGGCTGGCCTGGGTTCTCTGTTCTCTGTCAGCTGACCGTCTTCAGAAAAGTCTCTTTGAGGAATGCCTGCAACCAGCCTTTCTTCTTCCTTTTTGACAATGATATGATGGTTTAGTCTAAGACTATACCTAAAATATTTTCTTAATTTTTTAAAGGTAAAAGTAATGGCTTCTATCCGAAAACCAAAGCGCATCACCATCCGAGGCCATGATGAGAGGGAGCACCCTTTCCTGGTGAAGGGTGGTGAGGACCTTCGGCAGGACCAGCGCGTCGAGCAGCTCTTCGAGATCATGAATGTCATCCTGTCCCGTGATGCTGCCTGCAGCCAGAGAAACATGCAGTTAAGAACGTACCGCATCGTGCCCATGACCTCCAGGTGTGTGCAGGAACCAGGCACAGGGCTGGGTCCTGAGATAGGGTTGGAGGCTGCTTGGCAGGTCACTGCTCTGTACCCCACAGAGCCCGCACCGCACAGTGCTAGCAAACACTCCCAAAGCCATGCGGGCAAAGTAGTGAAGAATGACATGAAGAAATCTGTTTCTCTTTGATTCTATAGAACTTTTTTTCTAGTGAAGAAATAGCAGTTTGGGCTTGTGTTTATTCATAAACTTCTTCTCCTTTTCAGATTAGGATTAATTGAGTGGATTGAAAACACTGTCACCTTGAAGGACCTTCTTTTGAATAACATGTCACGGGAGGAAAAGGCGGCTTATATGAGGTACTGGGAAGCCCAACTGCTCCTTTCTCAGGAAGCCAACCCTGCCTGCCTGCTGCTAGATCAAACCTCACGTTTCTAGTGCAGTTTCCTTCATGTCAGTTCTGGTCGCATGTTAGGGACCCTTATATTTGGTGCTTTTAAGGCCCATCCTGGCCTGTCCTTTAATCTGCCTCTGGCTGGGTGAATAAATTAAATGGAGTATAGGGTACTAAACAGTAGTTGCATATATTTTACCACAATAAGAAAAATATTAACTTTGAAAACAGAAAGATCTTCAAGGAAATAAAA